TTAATATACGTTGGGTAAGGGCAAACCCGTTATATATAATCAGCAGGGGGTAGTTGATCGGACGATTTTTAAGAGGAGTAAAACTGTTCCCCGGAGAGGTACCATAAATAAGCCTTCTTCAGAATGACAAAACGACATGTCATTCATCATACAGGCTGGTCTTCGATATCATAAAAATAGACCAATCATATACCAAATACAGTCTGCAAATTGCCTTTTGATTAATATTTGAAAAGAATGTATTTGGTTTTTATTTGCACTACATTTGTACATACATGTATCACAATTTCTCTTATAGTTCTTCATACAATGTACACATCAATAGGATATATATATTTTTCTTTTTTTCAGTAAGTGTATAATGCATATTTTGTGTTGTAATTTTTACACGAGAGGCAGGTACATGTGCATGTGAAAGAAGACTACTTTTAGCAATGTAATTTAGAGACTTAAAAAAAAAACAAAAAAAAACAGCATCATGGTGCACCCTGGGTAGATTACAGAACTAATGCATTCACTATTAATTACCTGCATTGTTGAAACATAAGCAAATCTTCAATGGATCCATTTTTGTTCTGTGACTCTGCATGGTTTGGGAATATAGAAATTAACCTGGCGCAATATCATAATTTAAAGAATTTCATTTTCTGAAGCTACATTTTATATACAGCGCTATTTATTTTCCGGATAAAAAAATCGGTAAATAGTGTAGGGTAGGCCATTTTGTCATAGTTTGCATGATAAAAATAACTGATTAGAAAAAAAAAAAATAGACATATAGTGGCTTGTCCTTAACTGTTGTGACCAGTTTTGTAAACAAAAGGCAATGAACATCAAAAGGTTACGGAGAATGCCACACGGCATCCTTGTGATAAAAAACAAGTTCTGCAGCCTCTTGCAAATACTGTTGATTAAACCTATTGCGATATCGCTGCCGAGCGCCACCGGGGTGGTGATCCAGTCACCTCCCGGGTCACGGCACTTTGCTCCCTGCTTCAGTGCTTCAATAAAACCCCCAAAATAGTACTCCCGCCAAATTCAACTCAACCCTTTTGAACCTGGCACAGAGCTTCTCCATTCATGCGTCCGTAAATTCGTCCCAGGTTTCACGGCAAAAAACAACCGTGCTCTTCTTTTGTATGTGATGGCTCTGACCAAAGGTTTAACAAGTTGTCGTTTTGACCAGCATGGCTAAACATAGCAGCAAGCTCTATACAAGTTTGTAGGCGACCAGTAGCCTTGGTACGATCTACAAGGAATCAAAGAATCATGCACATGTAAGTTGGCAGCTCAGGAAATACGGTGCTGTCATTAATGCTTTGTTGGTTTTCACTATTTTGTGCCGAGTTCAGAAAAGAAATTTGTTCAATTCCATTGCTGCAATTTTGCACATATACAATGGACTACTCATCCCGAAGTGAAAATCCAAGACTTGGATTTGTTTCGCGACACTGAAGTCTGACAAAATGGGAGCATCTTAGATGACATGCCTTATTCCTTTCCACTTTTGCATAACAAACAGAAACTTCTGTGAAGAATGTGGTGACAATGCGGGTGTTTCATAATAGTGCGCCTCCAAGAGTTTGCAACGCTTTGACCAATTACAGTGTGCGAAATCTGTTACACAAAATATGTGCGTTTGGAAAGGGTCGACAAATTTCGCACACTGGGATTGGTCAATGCGTTGCAAACTCTTGGAGATGCACTATTCTCAATCGCCAGAATCTGGTAGGTGTAACCAGCACATTACTATATGTGCTTAACGTTTACGACGAGGACCAGCAAGAATGAACATTAACCCTAACACTCCTCAGTCCTCCAACAGGTGAAGGATTGAGGAGTGTTAGGGTTAATGAGTGTTTTTTTCTGACTTCCAATGTGTCATTCCATTCTGTGCTAGTATTATTACAGTTATGACAAGCTAGGGGAATAGGAGAAGAATGTGAAAATTAAAGCTAAGCACATGCAAGTTGCCAGGATTTTGACGCTCCAACAGGCAGCTGACACATCTTAGACTGGTTGTGGATTTGGCCAGTCCTGCAGGCCACTGGAAGACCATCACGGCAGCAAGCCACAACATCTCCCCACTTCTTTTTTTTGGGGGGAGGGGTGTTAAGTTAAAAGCCAACCTATGTCCCCCTTCGACTTAACTGTGGCTGTTGGTGGCCATGTGGGTGGCCAGCACCTGGCTGAACTTCTTTTGGTGCATGTCGATGGCCTCGATGCTCTTGAAGAGGTCCTCGCAGCGGATGTCCTCGGGGAGCTTGGTTAGGAACTGGGCCAGCTGAATGAACTCCAGCGAGATGAGGATCTCCTCGTACAGATGCAGGATGCCTGTGAGGGGCCCCAGGAAGTGGGAGATTGGGAAAACAATGAGAACGACATGCGTGACGTTCGGCAGAGTATTTGTTTCTCTTGGTTTCGATATAATCCATGTGCTGCCGGGTCTACACTGAAGTTGCACAACGAGTTCCTAGGGGATTTTCAAAATTTTCCGTTCTCAAATTCTTCAGAAATTCATAACTTCACTCACTGGATGTTTACAACCCACACAAATGACTTTCTGGTGGCTACTCTAATCTGATAGGCTATAGATGCCCGAATATTTCAGCCAGGCCTGCTGCCTTGTAAAGAGAGCCCAGCTTGTGCGGTGTTGCGTAATTTTCTTTTGTTCCTAAAACTGGCCCAGTGCGCTGCTGGTGTCTCTTCAAATGCGGCCAGGTTAGTGTGCAGCAGTATCGTATCCCCCTGGGGAAGTCTATCCAAGTGGTATGAAGGGGTGGGAGAGAAAGGACTTGGTACTGATGAGGTGGACATTCCAGCTCCAATGTTCGTCTAAGTTTTAGACATAATATTGACTCAACTTCAACAAGGCATTCAAAATTTTCTAAAGCTTTTATTTCAGATCCGTGTAAAGGTGCGTGCGAGAAATGGCCAACTTGACATGACCAATTGCTCATTATTACTCAGTACACATAATTCTTGTATCAAGTGATTTTTCTTTTTGCCCTGCGGATTTGATAGTTGTTAACACTGTCTTTGCTTAGTTATTTCTTTGAAAATCTTGCTTGGGACAGGCAACCCCAGATATCCAACGCGAGAGAGCTTAACCCCTGAATCACTTAGCCAGTTGGAATAGTCTAGCTGATTTGTATCTTTAAAGTACCTGCGTGTAAGATTTAATTTCAATCCCTTCCCAAAATAAAAGCAACATGATACTGGCAGCCTTTGGGCCATACAAAAAGTGTGGCAGGAGCGAACTTGAGGTCTGCCTTACCTAGCGCCGTGCGGAACATGAACTCTTCGCCATCCCGGAAGAAGATGTCCAGGAATCGGCAGGCGACGTCAAGTGGTAGCGACTTGGTGTACAGCGTGTACATCCTGGAGAACAAAGGAGGGAGGAAAAACATGGTGAGACAACTCCAGGAAAGGCTGACCATACACCTTAGGGCCTTTGATTTCCCAATCCTAATCTTGGTAAGGCTGCCTTGTTTAATAAGAACCTGGTCTGAGACAGCTATATAATGTGCCAATATTGGTTATTACCACCTCATCAGTGAATGAAACATACACCTGGACGACCATCTGTTTCAGCCTGCATAGTTACTGTATTTGGGGTGAGATAAACTGCTCTGTTGCAGTCAAGTCCATCACGAGCCCCAATGCAAGTCCTTTTGCGAGACCAGTCACAAGTAACTGGGTGAACAACGATGAAGAAGTACTCTTCTCCAAGTTCATTTTTATCGCTTGTCAATTGGCTTGAGACTTGTGATGCACTTACAGGGAATTCTGATGGACTCAACAGCAACAACACTGACGGACAGTGGAGTTCTACTCATCTTCCAGAAAGGCCAAAGTTGAATCTGCATCGTGTTTGATCTGTTTTTATTTCCAAAATCAAGTTTGAGTGATAAAAGCAAGTGAGGTGATGGCCATTTTTGGTCAAGCATCTGGTATTCCAGCGCCAGCCTTACCAGTCTATGATGTACAGGTCTGGGGTAAGGCACTGACTCTTGAAATGGTTGTACAAATCGGGAAGATTGTCTTCAAAGTATTCCTCGTAGGTATCAAAATAAGACTGCATCTGAAAGCAGATCAAAACAGAGATAAAAAATCAGAGTGAAATGTGTATATGTTACGAGGTAAGGCTGTGCGGAATATCCGAATACCGAATATTTGATCCATTATCCAATATTCAAATATTAGCACTATTTGCACTGTGAGGAAAGATGTGGAGAGGGTGTGTCTCTTAGTTAAGCTGCTGTTCTTTATTTGGAACAGGAAGCATTTTTGATGGAAACAATGTTTATGGTTTCATATGAAACCAAAGAACCAAAGTGTGCATGACTTTAGTGCAGAGAAATGACAAACTTGGCAACTGAGGGTAGGGTTCCATGGAATGAAAGGGTTCATATTTCAAGGGGGGGTCAAAATTTCCTAGAATAGTTATTCCTTCATTCGAACATTCTCACTGCATGCACAGAGGCCACCATCCCAATGACTTGCCATCAGCAACAATCTTCAAGGCACTCACTGATAGGACTTACCACAGGCTGGTCCAGCCGGAAGAAGGCAAGTTGGCACGACTTGTTCAGAACATTGGCGAAACAGCAGAACGCATCGGCTGGCTCCAGGTAGAGGAGAAATACTGCTGCGATGAAGGACATGCCTTGAACCTGGAGGATGGAAAGTGGACCTCGGGATTACTCTCTATCTCTATCGGTTTGAAGGAAGTGTGTGATGTCTGAGGGACACTGTCGCACTTGGCGGCCAACTGCAGGCGCGGTGCATAAAGTGCCAAATCTGAGACAACAGCACCTACATGTAGACCCACTGGACACTGCCCCTGTAGCCCTTGGAGGTCAGGAGAATGAGAGATGGCCTGAATGAAACCTTCAAGATGCTAAAAATTAATGGTCTGGACGGCATCAAGCCAGAAGACCTGTTTTCCATGTCTATCTGAGGCCACAAATTAAAACCTCTTTGAGAAGGGGCTCAACAAGGGATTGAATATAAGGGAGCACTTCCCTTCCCAGAGAGTTGTAGACACATGGGATAGACCTCCAAAAGAGATGGTAAACGCAGACAACTGATCAGTTTAAAGAAACATTGACAAGCACTGGAAAGAAAATGGATATGGGGTATCAAAAGGCTTAAACCTATAAATCTATAAACTGCACCCATCAATCCTCGGTGCAATTGTTGGCTCTTGTGGTGGCTGGCACTTTTCCAGAAGCCATCGGGGCGGGAATTGAGTCCATCACGAGCCTGGTCACAAGTCCTATCATAGCACAGTCACACACAGCAGTATAAACAATGACAAAGGAGTGCTTTTTGTCTCAGTTCATGTGAGCGGCCTGTGACTTGGCTTAAGACCGGCTAACTTGTGATGGACTTACAGGGACTTGTGGTGGATTCACCCGCAGCCCTACACAGCCATTCAAATGTACAAGCCCCTGGTGTACCGGTACATGTAACTGGTAAAAATAGAAACACAAACTTCCCTAACAGGAAAACCCATACTAAGATTGCAATGGTCTGTGTTTCCGATGATGGGAATGAAGTAATAAGGACTGCATTTAGTATCAAAATAGCGGCAACATAAAAAGATAGTGACATAAAATTGATTTTACTTACGTAGCCAATATCCGGTCTGTAGCACGCATATGCACCTAACACGCTATGAAGGCGGTCAAAATAAGGTCCCCCCTGTGCCAAAAAAAAATCAACCAGTAAATAACCTGAATGTAATTCCGTTGTAAATGATGTCTTTCATTCAAGTTGCTTTCAAGCTTACTTCACGGAAGCGACAACCAATATTGTGGAAGAGGAAACATGCTTTGGGCAGGTGCCAATTCTTATCCTGCATATAAAACAACAGCTGGGTCGAGGTACCCAACCAACTGAATCCCAGGCCCAGCTGCAAATTATTACTTTCCGACTCTACAATGTCTGACAAAAAAGACCAACAACAGGGCCTTGCTACGGCCCACACTACAGTACAAACTCATACCTTCTGAAATATACATAGATGTGGGAATGTCCGGGAAACATCTAGTCTTATCACATCAACGCTGTCTTCTCTGCTTGCCTCGTGAACTGTCAAAAAGAAACAACACACCAAATGAGTTCAATGATACTGAAGAGCAGCCAATAAAATTTGAACATGACCCGATATGCAAAACGTAGCTCATGATCAAAATTATAAGTGGTGACGTGATTGGTTGTTTTGAATCTTAGGATTCACCTTCTTCTGAGTCCTCAGTGTCTGGTTCACTGAAGACCTTGATCCGGTCCTTGGCTCGGGCCAAGAAGATCTCAAACAGCTCAGGGGTGATGTTGAGCTCGTTGCCAATAGCCAGCATCCAGACACGGCCGCGGATGCTGGGTGGGATGCCTTGCCACCACATCTCCCGTGTCTTCTTGCTGGTTTTGCTGCAGGGGTTAAAGAACAAGGTAAGAAAAACACAAATTGTAATTTCCAATTCCATCAAAACAGCTAAGCAAAAGTTCTTATCCTTTTCATGGCAACAAAAGATGTATGCATGTACCTAAACCTTTAAATGGGCATGCTGCCCTTAGAAGTTCAAAGCAGGTGCCACTGGTTTTCTGCACAGTGGAAGATTGAGGAGGAATCAGAATGCCAAGGATGTTTGGGTTGATGGAGCATTAAGGAACTCATAATTTTCCAGCTCTACAAGTGACATATTTCTAGTCTGTGCAACATGTTGGGCAACGATTTACCGTACCTAGATTAAAGAGGTAACACATAACACTCGTCACTCGCTGAGGCCCATATAGACTTGAATCCAGTCGGACTTACGTTGCTCTTCCCCAGTAAGCCATCTCTCAGCCTGTAAGCACTACACGGTCGTTGCGCTCGGCCCAGCAGCTTGCGTAACCCTTATAAGGTGCCCTCATTTGATAGCCTTTATTGTACAACATGTGTCACACATCACCAGTCGGTAAGTCCGACTTGACGGATAAGCCAATCGGACCCCGTTGGTGATATGAAGTTATTCATAATTGCATATGAACAACGTGATCTTGCATAATGTATACAGAATTTCCGCCAATCCTTTGATTGGCGGAAAGTCTGAGTAGTCAAACTTGGAATTTCCGTCAAAGTAGTCAGACTTGTAGACTCGTTTATTATAATGCAGGTATGAACGACGTAAAAACAAGTCTGGCAATGTGATTGGCTGCTACCACTTTTGGAAGATGAGCCCATTTGCTGTGTACAAATGGTTGGCAGATTCATCAAGTTTGGATTTCTGAACTGAACTCATAGTAATTATGTGGACACAACAGGCCGTGAAGCAAGTAACGGCACAAGGTCTTGGCATGTGTCCAAAGCATAACTGAAGACGTCACAGAGATTCCGACTTGAGTCAAGTCTGAGGCCCATGGCATTGGCGGTGAGCAGTGTGATAAATGCTGCTCTGTTCTGTGACAGTCACTCTGTAACAAAACCCATCACAATGTTTTCTGCCATTAAATGGGGCGGTCAGAAATGCCTAATGAAACATCCCCGGATTGGTCGATAAATGTGGCTGGAACATGTCTGATGAAAAGTGTCGTGAAGAGACAAGAAGGCTTCACTTACGCTTGGTCCCAGTTCTTCAGAAGGTCGGTTTGCCAAACGTGGAGGAGGGTCTTGATTCCTTCTTCGTACTTCAGCTGCTTGGCCAGCTTCTTCATTTGCTGCTTGTACACCTTGATCTCTGCAAACAAGAGTTTCGAAAATTCCCGATTCTTTCTATTTTATTTGTGAAGGAATAATAGGACAACTGACTAAAAAGCCAGGCAGCCAATTTCAAATTCGAATGAAATGAAATGACAAATAATGCCAAGCCTACCTTCCAAACTGGGGGAGGGAATTACCCTACCGTCACTGGGAGGGTGACACCAACCTTTTCTCTCAAATATATATTACAGAATCTAGGGTGTGTCGTGACATGGTTCAATATGCCACCTCTACCTTTCTGTTTGGCTCCTTTGACCATCTTCTCGTATTGCTCTTTGTGCTTCAGTTCTTCATCTGGACTCTTGGCGGGCAGATTCCTGAAAAGTATACAGAATATTGGATGAGCACCAAAGCCTACCATCAGTATCAACTGAAGCTCCATACAGGGGCACAAAACCCTTCCAACTTGTACAAGTGCCTACTGGTATCATACATACATTTGCATATAAATTGTATTGTAGTCACAGTGGGGACTGCATTTCAGTACTCATATCGCACAATTGTGCAATGAGCAGCATTCCATTTTGTGACAGGCTTCAGCCATGCATAATACCGTATGTCTACCGGTACATTGTGCATTCCATATGCCATGATCAAGTCTGTCCGCTGCATGTACAGTATGTGTACTGCTCAACTGATTAGTGCCACATTGTTAATCCATGCATAACATGTTGTACACGGAGTAGGGGTGTTGGCCAGAAGCTAAGAAGGTGTCTGGCAGAGTAGTGAAAACATAACTTAAGATATTATGTTTGGCCAGCGTTTGCTTCAAGTACATTGACAATATGCATACATGTATGTTTGGTAACAAAAAACTGAAGACGACACAACAAAAACTGTTCATTACAGTCTTTCAGAAGATTTCAGAAAAGCATGCTTGTGGGAAATAATAGGGAATTCTGTGTTGTCCTCATTTTCCATGAAATTCCGTCCGTTTTCTGTACCGTATTGCAGAGGCCTTCACCCTGGTACCTGACTAAAGTTGGATGACAGTTTAACTCTTCATATAAATTAAGCAGAGTCCATAAACTGGACCTCACACAGCAGCTGAATCGATTTTTAAAAATCATTACCACATGTACATGTATCTGCATTATTTTTACATGTACTGGTATAATGTAAAGCATTCTGGCTAGGCAACTGCTTTTGTGAAATGTACAGGTATGTGCAATTTGAGCGCTTTCAAAAATAAGGTATGGATGTCGATGGTAAACCCTTTCTTCTTGATTCGATACAGCAACAGAGAGGACATAATTGTTGAATTGATTACTGAAATGATAATGTCAACAAAGAATAATTTTTTCCATACTCGAGTGAATGATTGTACCGGTACTTCCATGTTGCCTTGTTATTGGTAATGTACATGTACTTTTGACTACAGTCATATGAAATGTGTTACTGTGCATTATCTTGGAATTTAAGTTTCAACTTTCCATGTTGAAAAAAAGAAAAATTAGTTTTCTGATGTTTTGAATTTTGGAGAATTGAAGAGGGTTACATGTAGGTTAAATATATACCCGGTACTTCAAAAGTATCCTGCACGATGTAAAGTGTTAGGGAACCCTCACATATTTCACCCAGACAATGTCAATTTTCGTCGGGATGTCAAAGTGAGAGATATACCAGTACCAACACCAAAGGCTTAAGTTTCCCTTTCTAGTTCAAACTGAAACAAAATTACAATCACATTTCATTTTCACAGTGCAGGTCACATTTAATCACGTTAATATAGGTTTTCCCGGCCAATTTCAGCAAAACGTCATTCAATTTTACACAGGGCCCATTTCATTTTGTTTTAAAAAGAATGATCCTTCATACGAGCACTCAATAATCAAAAGCAGGCATTCAATTTCGTTATTTAACATCTTCAGGGAAAGGCGTTCATTCAAATTCCAAAGGTTGTTTTGTTCATTAACATTTGCCTAAGGGCTTAGAAAGTGGTTGATCAGGCATTTGATTTAGTCAATAAGCAATCTTGTTTCCCTTGTGCTTATTCTAAATTTGTTCTAGTGATAAGGGCTTTCGGGATATATGAATCTGATTTCCAGGGAAAAAGGTTTAATAGTGGATCCTGAGACAGCTTTTTGTCAACGTGACTTGGGACAAAAATTGTGGCAGCAAGGTTCTTACAAAAAAAAGTGAGGTTCGTAGTAAAGGGAAGTTGATTAACATTTTCCAGGGCAATAACACAGAGAAAGGCCTGTAAACAAGTTTTTTTTCCCTTTTCTTGTTTTAATGTTATTTACCTGAATTTTCCCTGGCGCTTTTGTTAACTTTATATGTACATTTTGAAATAGTCCCGATAATTGGATATAGGAAACACACACACAAAAGCTTCAGTGCATACAATAAAGAGCAAGACAAAACATTTCTGATTTGACTCAAGAAAATAGGCGTACAGATATAAACACAGAATAAAGGATACAAAGGAATCATTCAAAACCATCAAATATGATTAAGGAATGAGAGAATCATACACAACGACTTAGAGCAGAAGACCAACGTCATTAAAACGCAGAATGCAAAAGAGATTTACTGTAAACGAAAAAGGATCCTACACTCGTTGATAAGTTCTAATTTGACTGCACCTATTAGATAAAGGTGGTAGAGATCCACACTATACACTAGAATAGTAATAGTATACATGTAATTTGGAATGATGGAAATGAAACTGAACAGCAAAGCTACCACTGACAAACTGTTTGCATGAAAATAAATTTGAAGGTAAGAAAAAGGAAAAAGAAACCCCAATACATGTACAAAAAAACCCATCGCATCTGTGCAATTGAATACGTATTGACAAAATCAGTGGATGTTTGCTGCAATTGGCCGGGGAAATCTACATTAAGTTGAAGTATTCAGTTGAAGTAAGCATGAGATTTTTGATGTCATACACGTGTACAAGCTTAAAAAATGACTTGAGCCTCAGACCTGACTGAGAAAGAGGAATTGTGGCTTGCCTAAGGAGAAATGACATTTGATATGACTTGTGGAAAAATGACTCATGGCTGGACTTGACTTGTGACAAAAGACAAAAAGCTTTCCTTGACTTGTGGAAAAATGAATTGGCAACAACACTGGGCCTACATGTACTGTATAGTTCCCTCCCAACTTACTGAGGTCGGTTCTCCAGGATTAGGGCTGTGGTAGAGGTGGCTGGCCGCATCCCCGCCTGCTTCTTCTTCCAAGTCAGCGACAGCGTGGGTGGGTGCGTCTTGCCCTTGGGTGGGTAGCTGTCGTTGTAGGCGCTGGCTGGGTGCTGCTGCTGCTGTTGCTGGGCGGCGGCCTGCTTGGCGGGACTCCGATTGAACAGCTTCCATCCGGAGGTGGATGGCGGGCTGTCCGTTTGGTCAGTTGTCGCAGACTTGGTGGATGATGACTTCCAGGGAAAAAGATTTCTGTTAGGTAGACAAGACACTGCACCAAGTCACGACAATATACATGTACAATGCCAGTGTGCATGATATGATTCATTGTAAGCTGATAAGCAAGTTTGGTTAATTTTCAAAAGGCAAGGCTTTTTGACTTAACAATTCACACGTGCGATGCGTACAGCCACAATGATAATGCAGACTTCTTGTAAACGTATTGTTGTTGAATGGCCTCAGACGTGCCTCATTTTGCACACGAGCTCTTGGAAAAATGAAAATGGCTCGTTAATTTTTTCAATTCTGCATACCATTAATAAGAACTTGTAATGTCAACTTTTTTCCTGCCAAAGCTTTTTTATAGCTCCATGATGTAAAGTACACATACACTGTACACTGAGGAAGCAAGCCTCTGTAAGTTTTATACTACATGAACTGGTATGTAGCAAATTCTTTTTATACTATGTACGGTATGCAAACTTGTACGGTGCCATTACCAGACTCCCAAACCTCAATATTGACATCATGTGTACACACATGTACAATACTGGTAAGTATACATGTACATGTACCCATCCCTGTACATGTACACATATGCTTGTATATGAACATGTACATGTACGGTAATCCAACAGAGGTGCACACCCATGCATTACATGTACAAGCAATTCCAGAAAATAGGGGTCCATTTTTTTTTCGTGTCTCTGTCACATCTGACATAAAATTTTGTAAGTTCAGAACGCATTTTCTAATTCCCATGAGTGATGAATTAATGCAAATTACCTGCCAAACAAATTGAAATAGTTTGAAATCAATTCTGATGATATTTCCAGGTCAAATAACAAAGGTCAGATGTAACAGGGACACAAAAATGTCACTTTTGGACCCTTAATTTCTGGAAATACCCATATACATGTTTGACTGGTTACACGTCCCAACTTTATCGCAATTTCTGACATTACACGTATCTCAGGGAAGATTTTGACAAAAACACCATTTCAATGTCTTTAGTCGTATACTGGTACAGTATGGATTTTACCCGACGTACTGATACCAACGTACATGTAGCCTTGTGGGAGGTGAATACATGTACAGTATGCTTACCGTACATGAATCGTCCTCACACACCTGTACAGATGTTCTCACTCACACTGGTACCAGTACAAGGACATACACACGCAACACACTTTCACTTTGGTGCTGGCAGTAATGAATGAACGAATGAAAAGATGACTGAGTCAGTTAAATTCCAATCACCCACATTCTGGATAACCTTTAATACCACTGAATCTGTGCACAAATATGAACATGTCCGCTTAATGGTTCACTTTTTGGAGTGAACAATGTGCATTGACTGAGTCAATTGGAGAGCTGGAGGATGCATTCACCAGAAAGTTTCCTGATGTCACAGAGAATCCTGGAGGGCCTTGTGGCTGTTTTGCAGTCAGCTGAATTGTGAATACAATGGAGGAACCCACCTTGCTGTGGGAATGAGTCACACAGCATGAAGTTAGGGGCATTGTTAACCACAAACTGAAGGGCAAAGCTATTTAAGGCACATGTACATGTACATCTATGCCTACTTAATGGTATGTACATGTACATGTGTACAAAAAGTGCAGTCTTGTCATACATAGACATTGTACATGTACATGAACACTCACATAAAAAATACCACTTTTATGGTGAGAGCTGTTTTGCTTGTAAGGATTGGCGCACATGTACCAGTATCTTTACTTTGTTTCAAAATTTCTGCAACTAATAATTCTTTGATTACATGTACTTCTCCTTGACAACTGGTACACGCGTACCGGAATACTTCCGAGCGGTACATGTACTCTACAATGTCTAATAGACAAACAGCACTGAGTTTGAATTGGAATGAAAAAAATTAACAAAAAAAAACCCCACTTAACTGCAATCTGCACTCTACTTGATGCTTTCCAAAAAATACTCATGTTTAAAGACTGTGAATACAGTACATGTAATGTACATGTACATACATGTACACTGCACCGGTAGATATTAACAACTAACTAGTCTTGCATAGATGTATACAGTGTCCTGGGTACATGTGCCGTGTACAGTACCATCATGTACATGTACATGTATGATGTACCGGTACAATGTAGACTGCAGTTCAAGGCTAAAAAAGTTTCTGATTCTTACTACTGGTACAAGTACAGTGTACATGTATATACATGCACAGTTGAACCTCGTTAATAAGAGGTTGTTCGGACTTGGATAATTATGTGTACCTTGTTATAACACGAACCTTGTACATGTATTATGAGGAATCAAAAACAAAGGATTGGGACCCCAAAATGTCCTTGTTATACACAGAATCTTGCACAAACAGTGCTCTTCTCAACAAGGTTAGACTGTAGTACTGGTACCGGTACATGAAAACAAGGTAGACTAGTGTGTACTGATACAGTATGTAACAAGTACTTTATATAGGAGTTGGGGGGGTTCAGTGTGGAGATGTTAGTGTCTACAGAGTAAAAATACCGTAACAGGAAGAGAGGTTGGATATGGCATTCACGTCCATTGAACCTGTTCACACCACATTCAATCTACAACACACTTTTTTTCTCTTTATTTCCACTGTCACATTTTCCCAATATTTTCTCCTCCAAACATTCGAGGGTTGCGCTGTCACAATCAAGGCAGGAAACAGGAAGCATTACTGTATTTTTTTGGCCTAATCATATGGGCCTACTGGTATGATAACTGTCTTCGTTAACTTAATACGGTATCATGCCTTTTCCCAATTGAGACAAAGTTCATCTAGAATCAAAACTTTCAGGCTCTCCTGACTTTCGGCTTTCGATTGTACCAGTACACGTACATTTACGATGTACTTCCTGGTCTGTATGGTTTGGTATTATTTGGTGTAATACATGTACATGTCCCGGTATGTAGGCCCTACAGGTACATGCATGTACATGAACATGCGTACCCTCTGTACATAATGTATGTACATGTGTACATGTATTGTATGCAAAGCACATGTACATGTACGTAGTACATGTTGTTTTCAATGGCAGGAAACCCTGATGGTTGAGCAGACACATGTATGCCAAATAAATGTAATAAACCATCATAGTAGCAGTGTACATGTAGCTTCAATGCACAAGTACATGTACGTGTACAACGTATGTATTTGTACATGTACATCTACCCCAGGAAGGGGGTATTATCACCTTGATTACCTAGCAAGTTTATTCAATTGAACAGCAAATGCAATGGCACAGCACTGAAAGCACTTCATGAGCTTTATGGGTTTGTACATGTACATGTAGGTAGGCAAGTGGGCACACAACAGTGACATAGCGGTAAATGCTGTACATCAAAAGTGTCTCACTTGAGGCCGAGGGGAAGGAACACAAATATACCATCAAAACTTCATGGAGAGTTACACTTGACACTTGTAGTTTACTGTAGTTACATGTAAACATGTACAAGGGTGGTATGGAATATCCAAATACCAGTATTTGATTGATTAATGAATACTTGAAATTTGGTTTCGAAATCAAACACTCGGAAGTCAGAGGTAAAAACCACTGGAAATAAAAGAAAAAAATTCAATTACTTGGGTGCCTAATTGCATTCCAAGAGCATAACGATCATATTTCACGGTGCTATGAGTATGTACTGTATTTGAAAACAATAACAATGCTAAAAAATCACTTTTCCAGCTACTGGCAGTTTCTCTTCTGGTTCACCTTTTGCTGTGCAGTCTCACTGGGACTATGAGGGAATAAATCATCCAGTAGGACTGAACATCAACTGAGGTGCTAAACTCCTATATCGCACACCATGTACATGTACCACAGATGAATGTATGTACATGTATGAACTTCCTCCTTAACATGTACAAATTTAACTACTGTACGGTAGGGGATGGACCCTTGTCCTATTGTTTAACTCAGTGAGGCAGACCACCAAACAAACATGCATTTTGTCTCTGCTTTTGTAAGAGTTCAAATTTATGCCTCATCAATGTACATACATGTACATGTAGTCAAATACCGGTTTTTAATCGAGTGGAAGATCAAAGATATTCAGCTGCAGTACCTGCATTTGAACTGCGAGGCTACTGGAACAGGACACGTACCGGTGCGAAAACAGTCAGTGACTTGATACATTCAAATCATAGTTACTGTGAAAAAATATACATGTACAGTACAACAAACATGTACATGTACATACGGTATACCACTATGTTGAGTTTCTTCACTAGAAGATGACAAACATCAAGCTCCACTGTAAATCATACAAGTGGTTTGATCTCCATTAATTCTGGTGGTGTAATTCCATTAACTGTTAAATCTTTCCATTATTTTCCCCTCAGGCTGATTTTGTTTTGAAGCCACAAAATTGCTCATGTGCACTTTGGGTAATAGGCAAGTACCGTGCGCAACGTACATGTACACACGTGTTACATGCCAAAAGCATAATTTGGTTTTAGGCTCCTAGCCCTGTGAACAGAAAGACAAAAATGATACCGGTAAATACATGTATTCTGAATTTCTGAGCTGGGTAAATGGATTCACAAGTTGCTGTGTCAAGTTTTGAAATGCTTCTGACTGACTGTCAATTAGAATGCAGGTAATGTGGAGCATGCTAAATACTTCTGTGATCAATGTACATGACTGGTGTGAGCTTGTGAAAATACACACGGCCATAGGCTGAAAATGTGCAAAATGCATCTCCTTGGATTCATTTAATTCCAAATACGCACATTCCACTTGACACTGCTTTGGAAATGGTCTTCTTTCATCACTTCCAACAGGGAGGACAGTCCCATTACTAGACTGTCATGGGTACATGTAAATCAAGTGATATTTTTTATGACAATCTGGTTGATTACTTTTCAAATATGCTCTGGACAGTAGCAGGAAATGGTACACCGTAGGACCAGTAATTTTACCATTTCAAATGCCTTCGCATAAGCACTGGACTTCAACATGCATGCATGCACACTGCACATGTACATGTATACATGTACCACTACATATACCTGT